ATTGTATTCAAGTAGTAGGAGAAACGTTACTAGACATAAGAAAATTATTATCTCAAGTAATTAGAGTGATGTTGAGCAAATGAAAAGATCACTTCATGAAAAGTTGTTAATATTTAAATATCAAAAATTTTTGAAGAAAATATTAAAACTCAAGAACCTAAAAGTGTAATTATAATAGTAGTACTTAGTCGTAGTGAGAGAATCATAACGAAGATTGATTTATATGCTCGAGAAAACCTTTATGATAGAGATCCTAAATAGAAGTATACTCTTGGAGGGTTTCATGATAAGGTCTCTCAAGATCTAGTACAAAATCAATTTGTTACGACAAAGCTCTACTAGACAAAGTTGCTTGAGAAAAATAGCTTCGTAAATTTCTTTAGATAAGAAATAAAGGAATGTCTCTGAAAGTTAAATGCATAGTTAAGAGTGTAAATGGGAGATTGTTAGGGTATATACTATTAATCATGTGTTTAGACATAGTATTCTAACATTTTCAAGATTAAACATCTAAGTAGGAGATTGTTAGGGTATATAATATTAACCATGCATTTAGATATACTACATTATAATAATTGTGATGGTTAAAAGTCCAAGTGGGAGAATTTTGAGATATATATATACTATAAGAAGTAATATTTGAATAATTTTTTTCTCAATTTTAATAGATTATATATTCGTTTATGGTGTCTATTTACTTATATAGTAGAAGATTTAGTGTGTAGATTTTTAGCTTATAAAATTAGGATTAAAACACATGTTCTCACAAGTATAAAGTTTTTTTGTTCAAAATCTAGGATCGAAGTTGTACATGTCATCGGATACGGTTGTAGCACAAGATTATATATAATTTATCCTGATTATGGGAACGTTATAGTTCCAACTTGTTATCCTAGTACATTTTGTATGTATTGATGGGACATAGAAGAGATAGTTGTTTTATATTGACTGACAAAAATATATTCTGTAATTATTAAAATGTACTTATATTCTTAATCATGATATAACTATTATGATCTTTTATGCATTAATTATTATTGTGATTTATTAAATAGTGAGATTCTCATATGGGTCAATATGCCTAGTATGTTGGATGATAATAATACATATTGTTGAAATAATAAGTTAGTTGGTGGAATTTATGTATCTTTATAGTTATTGATTGATATGACTTTTTGAGAAACTTATATGTTTAAATCGTGTCAAACCTTGCAAGTAGATTTATGAATTTGACGCATGAAATAAGTTAAACAATACTTTAAAGGAAATAAATCATTAAGTTAAATTCGTTAGTATTTTAATTTATTGATTAGTATTTGAAATCATAACATGGTGAATTACATAAGTGTTTAATAGGGAATTAGAAAGTATAAATGGAGGACTGCAATACGAATTCCTAGTGGAATGATTTCTAATTTATTATGGCAAGATTAATTCGAATTAATTATTTGAAATTATATCCATAATAGGAAGCCTTGTTAGTTAATTTTTTGATCAATATATTGCCATATTTAACCTGAACTCAAAATTTCAAATCTATGGAAAAAAGAATAATAATATGAGTTTTTCTAGTCTTCTAGAAAAATTAGGTTTTCTAGTCCTCTTTGGATTAGGAAGAAATCTTTATAAATAGGGACTCTCCTAACTTAGAAAATAGAGGAATAAGTTTTCTATTCAATATTTTTCCACCCAAGTATTGTGAGAGTTCTGATGTTAATTGGAATCACAGTAGAAGAACAAATATATCTTATAGATTCACTTGAAGGTCTCTCCAACTTGCGATTCACTTGAAGATATTTGTTCGCGCTTCAGTAGTTATTTATCGAATTGACTTTCAGTGTGTTTACGTGTTATAGCATGGTTAATGTGTCCTAGCATAAACAATATTAATTATGTATTTTTCATGTAAGTAGTAAATATTGCATATATGTTTTTCAACAATAGCTACTACCGGATCTGCTCCTTCATTGCTACCATAGATACAAGTAGCCAAATCATTATAGAAAAATAGTGATGACGTGCTAATTGAATAAGTAAAAACTCAAGAACATATAGATGCATCTACTGTCTTAACACCAGTTTATCAAGTGATCCAAATGGTACAAATATTATCAAAACTAGTTTAGAAAAATTATAAGTGTGAAACAATCTTCCTCAAAAATAGTAATGAAAATCAATGCATGAACCAAGATCATACAATAAAAAATGTGAAAGTAAGTGTGAAATGCAATGCGTTCCCTCACCAACATCCAAACAATAATAGTCAACTATCTAAATAAACAAAATCAATACTACCACGCTTCCAGTGCAAAAGAAACTAACTTGAACTCCAGATGGTCCTAAACTTAGTCCTCGGGTCCAAAAATTTCCCCACATACACACCAATAATAGCACAACAAGCTCACTAGTATCATGAAATGAAAGCAATAATGAGGACTTCAAAAAATCAATAGGGAATACTTCAAGGACCGATGCCTTACCATGAATATACTACTAAAAAAACAAAGCCCAGCTAATGCCAACCTACAACTATGGTATGCAACTAAGGTCTCAAGCTCAAACAAAAGGGCACCTAAGTAACAAAAATCACTAAAAGAAGTAGCTAATAACTAAAAAGACTTCCTAAAGTGCATAATAATGAATCCAAATTACTAGAAAAAATAAAGCCTCATATATTAACTCCAAAGAGGATTACTACAACAACTACGCCAACAACAAGGCGCTACAAGCCTGTGCTAAGGATCCTACCACGCAAGGCTAGCTAAAAGTTTTTACTGGAATCAAGAAAATGGGATAAATTGAAGGAGACTTAAACCCAACAATCAGAATCCCAATTTACATGTTATTAATACTAGAAGTTATATAATAGAACACAATCAAGAAAAGATAGATCATATCCTACCTCAAAGATGATCATGCACGCTCGCACTATTGTAGTTTTACCCTCACAAATCACCTTTGGTGATATAAACACCAATGTCTAGAGACCAAAATTAAAATAATTTGAGATCAACCAATAATTGAGTCAAAATTAGGATTATGGGACCTATGCTGGCAACCCTAAAATTGGCTACTTTGAATTCTCCCAAACGTTCAAAGGAACATGTACCTTGAAAAATGGGAACAATCCGAGGTCGCGATGCAGTGAAATTTGATCATGCATAATTGGTCACATGCACTACTTTGACGACCCCAAATCACAACTAAATAGGTAAGGAAGTTCTTCAGGGTTAGAAATTACCTGCAATACGATCCCCATGCACTACTTTGACGACCCCAAAACAAAGACCCACAATTTATCAAACTAACAAAAACAAAATCACCCAAAAGAGAAATTTAAATCTTGACTTATTACAATTTGAAATTGGAAAGAATAGATTAAATCCCAAGTTTTGTTTATTTAAAGGACAAGTGATCTGACATCCACCAATGAAAACACCATGATGCGATTGTTGGGGCATATAGATTTAGGTCAACCATGTCTCTTTGGAAATGTGGACGACAACTTGTGAATGCGGAGGTTGAGGTGACTCCTCTCAACAATCACAAAGCTTCTCCCATGAATGTGATGAAAAAATATTTTGGCCTATTTGAACGTAGCGCAAGGCACGATAACTTGAAGAACTATGGTGTAGCACCAGCCTAAAAATGGAATGTGCAAATTGCAATGATGGGGCTCAAGATTAATGTAACACTTCAAAAATCCAAGACGTGTTCTAGAACCTAACATAAGTTTCATAAGGTCTAGATACTTTTTAAGGTCTATTAATGTTGGTCATTCAATAAGTCTAGGAACCAAAGCGTCCAAGAACGTCCATTATGTCCGGAAAGTAGTTCAAGGAGGTACAAGCATGCCTTAGCCTATTTGGCTAGCTTTTAGAAGTCAGAAAATAATAAAAATTGGTTGAAGGGTGTCTAACATGTGTTTAAGTATATTCATGAACGAAATGTTTCGGTACGAATCCCCATGGAGAAACCAAGGGCCCTTGAAGAGGACCCTTGCAAGTGGAGTCAAACACTACATAGGCAGTGTGCATCCACGAAAGGGCGTCGACGGGGCCTCGATGCCAACCTTCGACCAAAACATAGACAATCTGTTGTATTTCCTCAACTGCACAGTCTCTGAACAAAGCGACGAGTGTGCATCACGGAGGAGGGACCAGTCGTCGACTCACAGACAAACCGTCAACGGGGTCTTGTCTGTTAGAGGCCAATTTTCCTGCACATTTGAACTTAGACTAAAACAGTTAATTATGGGCTTTGGTGGTTAGTTATGGATTAAACAAAGTCTAATTAACTTAATTAACCCCCCATATAAGGACCCCAACCCCATTAAGTCTAATGACAACTCTCAAAACAAAACGTTCTTCCTTCTCTCTTCTTTCTTTCTCTATTGGAAGACACTATTTAAGACAAGCTAGGGGAGGGATTTGGGTTCTTTAAAGGGATATTTCACCGTCAATCATTCATCAACAATTGATTTATGGGATCTAATTCACCTTTTAGACCTCTTTCCTCAAAGGGTTCCTTCAAAGTTTTTTCGAAAGTCGAGCTTTAATGTGGGTCGTTCTGAATCTCGAAAAATTATGATATGAATTAAATTTTTTATAATTTAGTTTGTCTATAATGTGTATATTAACATTTATTCTAACTTAATTATGCTATATATTGATGGTTCGGTCTAGTTTTGAGAAGATGACCCTTAAACCTTAACCCTGCGTTTGATCTTGAGAAAAATTAGGTTGTATTTGGTTAAATTAACTTGGTTATTGGTTTATTACTACTAGGTTATGTTTTTGATCTAATAATTAAAAAAATTAGGGTGATTGGTAGTTTTTCATTCTAGTTATTGAGAAGATGATATAGTTTATAAAGTGTGTTGTGAATTGACCTAAGTATCTTGTCTTAAGCTAAGATCTAGTATTGAAGGGTGATTTAATTTTTTTCTAGACTTTTTATCATGTTGATTATTGACTTATGATGATGTATATCCAAATTAGGTTGAATTGAGGGTTTATGATAAGACATTGATGACAAACTATGAAGGATACTTGGTAAGTCTTATGATCTCTAGCCTTTACTTCAAATTGTGGTTAATTGTGATTAAGTCATGATGTTGTATTGGACTATGCCTTTTATTAGGATTCATAGGGTGGTAATGATGTTTAATTAAAATGTCTTGATTATGATTATGAGGTGTTGGCTTAAGATATAAATGTTATAAGGAGGGTGATGATTTATCAATGTTCCTTATCACGATATGAAGATGTTAATATGCTAACATCACCAATATGAATTGTAATGAAAGGATTTGTACTCATGAAATTCCTATTGAGCTATTTATGGTGATGATTATACATGGGGTAGACCCTATGACCGAAACTAAGCTGTGATTGATGATAAAGGCTTTAAGATATTTCAAAAAGGTACTCTAGCTTAACACCGAGTGAAGTAGAGTCAAGAGTTCCCCTTCCTACATAGGGAAGGTAGGATCACTAATGTACTCTTGATATTGGAGACTACAATGCATGTACGATAAAGAGGGTCCCAACTATATCTCTTAGTTCTTGAACTATGTTGCCCCCACAGGAATACTAGCTAGTGGATCCACGTAGTTGCTATGTTTTATGTTTTGGTACTACCTTGGAAAGTAGTCCGCCTTCCTTTAGTGTATGGTTCGGTGATGCCGTATTCCACACTAGCTTATCTTGTCTATGTTAGGTAGAGCAATATGTTCTCAAAAGGTAAAATGAACTAAAGGGTTGAACTCTAACTAAGATAACCTAAAGAGGTCTAGCTTAGTCAAGGTAGGGGGTATGGCAATCTACCTAAGCACTGGAGTAGATAGCCTTGAGAGGAGTCTTAGGAGGATGTTATTATGTATGATTATGCTTATAATGCTATATGACATTTATATGAAGATCTTGCACATTATTGATACTATATGTTTATAAGGTCACTTATTAATATGTGTTGGTTTATATTGTTAAAGTAAGATGATATGTACACCTAAATTCCGTGATAAGTGAAGTAGGATGTTAGTCTTGATTATTGTTGTGTTACTTGATTGAGTAATGTTATGGGGCTTTACTTGGTCATTGCACTTATTGACTTGATAGGCGTTCATGGGTAATTGACTTATTTTGGTTATGTTGAAATGTACTCTTTTTCATGCTTATTGTTGATATGACTTTATGATAGAGTTACTTGAATATGTATCTAATTATATAATATGCATAGTTGACTTGACTAGACTTGATGATGTTGGTTGCATAATGTAGATACTTATGACTTAATGTATGACATAGTGAACATGTCTTTATGAATATGCATAAGTCTTTTCAAAGTAAAATGCATATCTTTATGAAATGTCCTTTTTCCTAGCATGATTTATAAAGTATGTGTGCATATGGTCCCATACTTTGTACAAGTGGTGTACTAACCCCATTTTTTCGTTTTCCTCAACATGTTAGATTCCGGTTGTTTAAGTGCTTTGAAGACGGTAGGATCTCTCATTCATCCAAGTAGGGTAGGTCCTCGTTTTCCGAGGGCGATGCCATTATCAAGCTTATGGAGTTTGCTGTTTAGTTAAAGACTTCTATTGTTCTTTCTTTATATTTAGTATGAAACTTTGTATAGACATTGTGAGACATTTTTACTTGATGTATGGGTTATTCCCAAGTTCTTACAATCTTATTAGATGGTTATGAGTTGAGACAACTATTATTACTATTATTATGTATATGATATACTTTATATACTTATGTGCAATAAAAGTATAGGACTAAGGAATCTTCCTATACGGAGGGTCTATGTATACTCGATATATATATATATATATGTTATGTGTATGTAAAGGTCTATGTAAACCTCATAGTAGAAGTAATGAAAAGTATTAAATTTTCTGCTATATTTGACCTATGAATGTAAAGATGTAAGGTAAGAGGATAGTCTTAGTCCTCAAAGAGGACGACGTCAACGTTGGTTACATCTAGGGGTTAACAAGGATGTGACAAACTTGGTAACAGAGCATGAGGTTCAATTATATTTGAATCAATGTCTCTCGACCACGTCTATACAATTTCATAATCATAATTATGAAGCGTACCATAGGAACCTACATGATGCCTAGGAAGTTCTCACTTTCTTGGAAATCTAATATCGCTCCACTAGAGTATACTTATGGTGTGATTTTTTATATAATCCTATTGTTGTGATCAAAAGAAATGAACACTCAAAGGAATGTGGCACGAAGGCTTTTTGAAGAGGAGATTGCGAATGTGGAATCTTCTCCCCATGGTGATCAAGTTCCTCCTCTTCAGGAATATGAGAATAATGACCAAGCTCCGGTGAATCCTCATCCTTTAACGGATGAGAATATAAGGGACACTCTTCTTTATATGGCCTAAGCCATCACTACCCAAGAACAATTCGCCACTACTCAAGCCCAAGCCATGATGGACCAAGCTAATTGGGAGGTTGTTTCCCAAGCTCATCAACAAGTTGATACCATGTCTTCCCGTCAAAGGATTTCACTCGGATGAATCCTCCTACGTTCTATGGTTCCAAGGTTGAATAATACCCCTGAGAGTTCATCGATGAAGTCTACAAGATACTCTTAGCGATGGGGTTGTCTACAAGTGAGAAAGCCTAGTTAGACACTTATCAACTCAAGGATGTGGCTCAATCATTGTGTGTATAATGAAGGGTTAATAGGACATTAAGAGGTGGTGCCGTGACTTGGGAGATCTTCAAAAAGGCTTTTCTTGATCAGCTCTTTCCTAGGGAGATGAGGGAAGTTAAAGTGGTGAGGTTCATCAACCTTCGCCAAGAAGGTATGAGTTCTCATGAATACTCTTTGAATTCACTAAATTGTCAAAATATGCTCTTTCTTTGGTGTCCGATCCTAGAGATGAAATGAGTCGCTTTGTGATGGGGGTGTAGGATGATTTGCAAAATAAGTGTCATTCGGCTACGCTACATGAAACATGAACATTTTTTGTCTTATGGTGCATTCCAAACATGTGGAAGAGGCAAGGTCTAAGACGAAGAGTAGAAATGCTAAGAGGGTAAGATCTTTTGATGAAGGTTTTTCAAAGAATATGATTGACATACAAGACAAGCCTAGATTGATGAAACGGGTTTCTAATAAAGTTCCTTCCAATTTCACTAAGGCTAGTGGTGATAGGGTGTCTAGACCTAAGCCTAAGAAAGAAATAGGTACCACTTCACCAATCGTGAATCCAACTTATCGTAAGTGTGGCAAGAAGCACAATGGTGAATGCCTTAAGGGGATGGACAATTATTTTGGTTGTGGTAAAAGTGGGAACAAGGTTAGGGATTTCCCTAATGTGAGAGGTCAAGAAAAAGGTGGTGATAAAGCTCAAGCAAGTGGTTCAAATGAGGCTCAAAAGAATAACTGCTTCTATTCTCTCCGCTCTAGCGGTGAGAAATAGACTTCTACCAATGTGGTGAATGATATGTTGAAAGTCTTCTCGATTGATGTATATTCCATACTTGATCCCGATGCTAATTTATCATTTATTACCCCTCTAGTAGCCAAAAAGTTTGACATTTTGCCTGATATTTTGCATGAACCTTTTATAGTGTCTACTTTGGTGGTTGAGTCGTTAGTTGCAAAAAGGGTGAATAGAAATTGTCCTCTAATGTTTCCCAATAGAGTTTCTTATGTTGAAACAGTAGAATTAGATATTCTTGATTTTGATATTATATTGGGTATGGATTGGTTGCATGCTTGTTTTGCCTCTATTGATTGTAGGACGAGGGTGGTTAAATTTAACTTTCCAAATGAACCTGTTTTTGAGTTAAGGGGGGGAAATTCTATTCCTAGAGGTCGTATCGTCTCATGCCTTAAAGCACACAAAATGATCTCAAAAGGTTGTCTATACCATATTGTAAGGGTCCAAGACTTAAACTCCGAAATTCCTCTCATGGAGTTTGTCCACGTAGTGAGTGATTTCTAGAGGTCTTTACAAATGATATTCCCAGTATTCCTTCCAATGGGAAATTGATTTTGTTATTGACTTATTACCGGATACAAATCCCATTTCAATTCCTCTTTATCGGATGCATCCGACGGAATTGAAAGAGTTGAATGCTCAACTCAAAGATTTACTCGGCAGAGGCTTCATTAGACCTAGTATTTCTACAAGGGGTGCTGCAGTTTTGTTTGTGAAGAAAAAGGATGAATCGTTAGAGAACGTGTATTGATTAACACCAACTCAATAAAGTCACAATCAAGAACAAGTATCCTCTCCCTCAGATTGACGACTTGTTTGATCAACTTCAAGGGGCAAGTTACTTTTCTAAGATTAACTTGAGATCGGGGTATCACTAACTTAGGTTGAGAGGTGAGAATATAGCAAAGACGACATTTCAGACTAGAAATGGTCACTATGAGTTCTTAATAATGTCCTTTGGTCTCACAAATGCCCCTGTGGCGTTTACGAATCTCATGGATAAGGTGTTTTAAATTACCTAGATTCTTTTGTCATTGTCTTCATTGACGACATCTTGGTATATTTGAAAAATAAGGGTGATCACATGAACCATTTGAGACTGATGGTTCAAGTACTTAAAGAACATCAATTTTTTTCCAAATATAGAAACTGCGAGTTTTGGTTGAGGTCGGTAGCATGTATTGGTCATATCATCTCTAGAGAGGGAGTTGAGGTTGTTTCAAGAAAAAGGAGGTGGTGAATAATTGGCCTAGACCATTGAATCCAACCAAAAATAGGAGTTTCTTGGGTTAAGCCGGTTATTATCTGGTGGTTTTGGATAGTTTTGTGTCTATTGCATATCCTACTTTTACCCAAAAGTGTAAGAAATTTGAGTGGTCGGAGACATCTGAGAGAAGTTTTCAAATGTCGAAAGATAGGCTCACTTCTGCTCCAGTGTTGACATTACCGGAGAGTACAAAGGGTTTTTTTGTATATTGTGACACATCATGAGTGGGTTTATGATGTGTGCTTATGAAACATGGGAAGGTGATAGCATATGCTTATAGGAAACTTAAGGTGCATGAGAGAGACTATCCAACTCATGACCTTGAGTTAGCGGCCGTGGTATTTGCCTTAAAAATATGGAGGCATTACTTGTATGGTTTCCATGTTGATATGCTTACCGACCATAGGAGTCTCCAATATGTGTTTACCCAAAGGAGTTGAATCTCCGACAAATAAGGTTGTTAGAATTGTTGAAAGATTACAACATGAGTCTCCTCTATCACCGCAACATGGACAATGTGGTTGTGGATGCTCTAAGATGTATGACTATGGGTAATGTGTCTCACATAGATGAAGCCAAGAAAGACCTAGTGAAGGATGCTCATAGGTCGGCGAGGTTGGGTGTGAGGTTGGAATATTCTCTGCATGGTGGATTTATGGTCAATCATAACTCCAAGTAATCATTAGTAGTTGAGGTAAAGTCCAAACAACACCTTGGTAAATCATTGATGGAGGTGAATGAATCGGTCCTTGGCAAGCTTAATGAGGTACAAAGGAAGATTAAGTGATCCCAAGGCAGATGAGTAGAGTAACGAGATCCTAGAGAAAGCCCATGGGTCCAGCTACTCCATTCATCCAGGTTCGACAAAAATGTACCCTGACCTTAGGGAAGTATTTTGGTGGGAAGGTTTGAAGAAGGACATAGCGCAGTTTGTTGTTTAGTATCCAAATTGCAAACAAGTGAAAGAAGAACATCAAAAGCCGGGTGATTTACTACAAGAAGCCCGAGTTCCTACTTTGAAGTGGGAAGACATCAATATGGATTTTGTAGTGGGTTAACCTCAGACTCAAAGGCAATACGACTCTATATGGGTAGTTGTGGATAGGTTGACCAAGTTTGCTAACTTTATTCCCGTCAAGTATACTTATTCGGGGGAAGATTATGCTAGGATTTTCATATATGAGATTGTGTGTCGCCACGATATTCCGTTATCCATCGTATTGGATCGGGGTGCACAATTCACATCTAGATTTTGGAGGAATTTCCAAGAAAGGTTGGGTACTAAGGTTAATTTAAGTACCGCTTTTCATCTCCAAATGGATGGTCAATCGAAACATACTATTTAAACCCTTTAGGACATTGCTTAGGGCTTGTACTATTGATTTCAAGGGGAATTGGGATAAGCATTTGCCTTTGGTGGAGTTTGCTTATAATAATAGTTTTCATTATTCCATCTCCATGGCTCCCTATGAAACCTAGTATAGTAGGAGGTGTAGGTATCATATTTGATGGTTTGAAGTAGGTGAGTCTTCACATCTTGGTCTCGATTTGATTTATAAGACTTTGGAGATAGTATATATCATAAGTAATCGGTTGCAAACGGCCAATAGTTGGCAAATAGCTTATGCCGATCAAAGGAGAAGGGATTTAGATTTTGAAGAAGGTGATAAGGTGTATTTGAAAATTTCACCTATGAACGGGGTGGTTTAAGTTGGTAACAAAGGAAACTTGAGTCCTCGTTATATGGGTCCATATGAAATCTTGCAAAGGTTTAGTAAGGTTGCCTATGAATTAAAACTTCCTAGTGAATTCACTTCTATTCATCAAGTTTTCCATGTTTCTATGCTTAAGAAGGGTATCGGTTATCCCGTGTCTATTCTTTCAATTGCGGGTCTTGGTGTGGAGGATAACCTCTCTTATGAGGAACTTCTGGTTCAAATTCTTGATAGGCAAGTCAAGAAGTTAAGGAATAAAGAGATGGCTTCCGTAAAGGTGTTATGGAAGACTCACCTA